TATATATATATATATATCTAATATGAAATTATATGTCTTATCAAAAAAAAAGTACAAAACAGTTTTAAGACGTACGTAATTATACAATAATTTGTTGACACAAAAATGTATAGAATGGAGGTGATGCTCACAGTGTGATTTGAATACATTTGAAAATACATGACAATGCAAAATCAATATGGTAACAATAGCATTGGCAATTAATCAAAACAGAGTTACAATTGTTGACCAGAAAATGTCCAAAAAAAAAGAAAAAATCAAACTTCTAGACCAGCCTTGTGTGCTGAATATAACTTAATGAATGTTTCTCTTTTTTCTTGTAACACAAGTTGTCACTGACTTTAGCAGGATACAACATTTCATTTCATTATTTTTTCTTTTCATTTCTTGCTTTTGTGCACTAAAAATTATCACACACAGAAACATTTCTATCACAGCAACACTACATATTTGCATTCTTGTCTGTTTCATTATTTTTTTTCTTTTATGTCCATCTGCAAAGAGATTTTTTTCTTTCATTGAACACCACTGCCAGGAATCTTCTGCATTATTTTCCTTTTTTATTATTATTATTATTATTATTTTTCAATTACACGTGAAACAATTTCATGCGCACAACGTCGAAAAAACTTATAACAAAAACAAAGAGAACACAGAAAAACATAACAGGCGCGACAAGAAACGTGTCTCCACTATATTCGCAGAAAATTTGCTGCATTATTCGTTGCACGCATTAGAACGCAAACAGCATTTTCAATCTTCGCTGTACTTTGATTTAAGTGCAGCCATATCTGGCAAACAATTCAAATGTTAGACATGTTCTCACATTTACACGTCATCGATGATGCGAAGGCTCTTTCCAAATTAATTTAATTAAAAGATCATTCGCATCTTGGACAACGTGTATTAAATAGATACAGAAATTTCTTACACCTTGCAACTACGTTACAAAATTTGTTAAAATGACATTACCCTGTTTTCACAATTGCACGCGTATCATCGCGATAAAAAGAAAGAAAAGAAACGGAAAAAATTAATACGACAATTTGAAAAAGTGACGAGCTGAGAGAGAAAGAGAAAGAGAAAGAGAAAGAGAGATGCGTTCTATTGAAAAAAAATTATCTCTCAAATCTCATGTGCTTCTACAGTTCCAACAATATGGCAATAACGAAACGATGATTTATTTGGTAGGATTTATAGAAAGCCAAAATGCAAATCTCACCTGTCAGTAAAAATCAATTTATTTCACAATTATTTATGAATTAAAATTTTAAGGTTTTATTTTTAAATAATTATTACTTTCATAGTTAATCCACACTTTATTGATTCTATAAAAAAATAATTTCTGCTGTCAGGTTGAGAACGAAAGAAATTTGAGCAAGACTAATTGTCTGTCGACAAAATTAAAATTACTTACCTCTACTCTGATTATAACCAGCCTGCCATCCAGCGTAGTATGCCGCTTTTTGTTTTCCGTGTTCCTCCGCGATTTTTACGCTAAGTGGCTCTGATCCACCTTCTGGTATCGTTCCATGTAGTCGTGCGATCGCTTCTTGTGCTTCTTCCCGTTTATCGAATCTACAAAGATATAGTTATTATAATAGAAATTTAAAAATCAAATAAAAAATTTTTTTGATAATAAATATAAATAATTCTTGCCAGATATCTACAGTTTACAATATTAATTAAGAATAATCTAGAGCATAATATGTAGAACGTAAATTAACGAATCTTTAAAACCTGCCAAAATTAAGAAATTTATCAAACTAGTTTTGATTCTATTCCTAGATGGTTGACATACTTTTTGGACTATTTTCCTACAATAAACCATAAATCTCTTTGCATGCACAATTGCATTAACTGGGTCAGTGGTCTGTTAAGTAAATCGAAATTATGAAAATAAAATAAGAGAGAAGTGATCAAAATAATTTGGCAGCAATGATTTCGGAAAATAAATACAGACACATATATACATTGCATAATAACTAAGCATTTCTTCTTTGGCACAAACAACTATAAGTCTCAGTTACTCATATATATATATTTATTTTCCAAATAATAGCAAAATAAAAATATAATTAATCGCGCGAATATGTGAAAGAACAGATTATTATTATATATATACAAACAATTCTATAATTATCTACAATAACTCTATAATTTATTAAAGAGTTGAAATTATTATTATTATTATTATTATATCAAGAATTGCAATATAAAATTGCATTATAAAATAATGCTTATTTCAAAAAAACATTTCGTAAGCAATATTTTTTATCAATATAATTAAATAATATAATTTATTCTTTTGAAAAAATTTCTCATAAAATTGTTGTTTAATATTCATAATTTATCTTAATAATATATAGTTTAAGAAATAAAACTAAAAAAACATACCTTACAAATGCTACACCTCTTGGTAATCCAGTAAGTTTGTCTTTTAAAATATTTTTTTGCACAATATTTCCATATTTACTAAATATATCATCAATCTGACTTTCAGTTATATTTCTAAAAAAA